AAAAGATATTTTGTGAAAGGTCCGTTAAAGCAGTGGTTCTTAACCTTTTTAAGCCGCGACCCAAATTTGAGAAATATGTTCATGTCGCGACCCCAAAAAAGTCAAAATTAGGCTCAGTAAGCCACAATGACTTCTGCTAGGAGGTGTTGATATTACTTATTATTTGGTGTATTACTAACTTTTTTGGTTCGACTCAGCGCGACCCAAGAAATATGCTTCGCGACCCAATTTTGGGTCGCGACCCATAGGTTAAGAACCGCTGCGTTAAAGGACCCAAATTTCTTCTAAACAGACCCCTGATCTATCAAAAGTGTTTTTTTTTTGGTTAATGGCGTTACCCAGTGAGCGCCTATGGCTAAGCCACGGTGGTGGAGTAGCGTCGCCCACGTCATACAACCACAAACCCGTTTATAGGGCGGGTTACATTCATACAATCACACAGAAGAAAGGACATAAAACACAGAGAGAGAAAAAAAACATCCATGCCCTGAGCTGGATTCGAACCCGCAGCCATTGGCTTCGCTGTCAGGCACGCTAACCGCTCGGTCACCTGTCCGGCATCTATCAAAAGTTACCTACCTCAACATAAAAATTGAGTTAGCATGTCTTAGTGAATTGTAATAAAATAATTGTAGTAATATAAATATCACTATATATACAGTTTTTATTATTATCTTTCATGTATTTTCTTAAAAAACTTTTCAGGATGACTTCCAGCAACCTGGCCCTTCCCATGCATCTCCCGATAGGCCAGCATCAGTTGTAAGTATCATCACTTATTTAGTGTCTTTTATACTACTTTATTTAACTTTTAATTCCTAATAAAAAAATCTTTTTTATGAGAATTTATTATTATGATCATGCTACAGTCAGGCCCTGATAAAATAGTAGAAGATAATTATTATGTTGGAAAATAACCTATCAAACCAATAATCTGAATTTCATAAGATTATATTCACAGGAGAAATTTGATTTATTTTCATTTAATTTTCAAATACTTCACAACTTAAGCTAATTTACAAACTTGAAAATGCAATTGTAAAACCTAATCACGCATTTCGATAAAAGCTGCAACGGAAAAAAATTAAGTAAAAAATTCTTTTTTCTTTGTTCAATATTTAATTTTAAAAAATAAAATTATTGTAATATAACAATATAAATAAATATTACAATAAATATCAAATGTTAGAGAACGCATTCTTTTTGTTTACAATTTTTGAAGGGAATCTGAGAATGTTTCAAACTTTTTAAATTAAGAATAACTTCCTTAAGGTAAGTGCATTACATTTTTTCCCGTTCTATTTGTTTAAAAACAAAACTTATTTTAGTTCTGAAATATTCTGAAAAATTAGCATTGAATTAGTATTTACCTACAAAGCTAATGAGGCTGGAAAAAAATTGATTAACAATTTCAGCATTCGAATAACTTTGAGAGGGAAAAACAAGATTGTATCTAATTTATCTTAAACTACTTTCAAATTATTTTAACAATAGCATAGTTCTGCTAGCAGATAATTCAGTTTAATCAAAAATTAATTTAATTCAGAGTTTACACAAGTTTTTTAATAATCTTAAATATTGAAGTGAGCACAAGCACTGAGTGAAAATAATAACTTTCTTTCCCCTATGATAGGATTTTCAAGTTTTAGGACTCAATGCATGATGTATATGTTTAAGCAGAAAATGAATTCAATTTACAAAAGCGAAAAAGAGACAACGAATTAAATAAACTATTAAAACATTAAATCAAAATGGAAAAGCGCCTAAAGCAGCTAAAACAAAATTTGCTTTATTTAATTTAGAAATCAACCTAATTTGCTTCATTTGATTTCCTGTACAAATGTGTATCTGTGTAATTATAATATATGTGTGTTTGTAGGACAGCACTTCTTCAGTGGACACACTGTCTACAAACACACATATTTAAATTTTTACAGATTCAATGTTTGTTTGAATTTCTAAATCAAATATGTTTATTAATTTTTGTAAATAATATTTTAAAATATGAAATCAGACACAAAAGTCACACTTTCGCTGAATAAACATTACTTTCTTCTGGCGGATTTGGATTTTTGATCCCCAAAATTTCGGAGCTGACGCCATTTGAAAAATACAGTCCCAATAGTTTGATCAGGAGAATGGTCGAAAATTTGGTCTCTTAAATGGTATTTTTTACTTTCTGCGTCTTTCATAATTTTTTTTTTTTAAGTGAATTGAAACTGATTTGCATACAAGTATAAAATTCGTTTTTCCTAAGAAAATTCCATGCCAAAAATAAGTTTTAGTAAATATTTAGTAGTAGAAATATTTACTAAACCCTTTATAAGCCGATTAACCATTTATAAGCAGATTAACTCCTTTATAAGGCCATGTGAAATATACACACATTTTCTTAGTTCTTAAATGTAGAGTGGGAGAAATTTTTCACAAATGGTTTGAATTGGGACTTACTTATAGCTTTTATAATTTCTTAAAAAACATAAAAGAAATAGAAGAATTATAGACAATAGAAGAATTATGTTTTTAAAAAGTAGACGTTAGCGAGCTAGCATCTTGAGGTAGTTTTTGGAACTATTTTCTCTTCTGTCACGTGCGTTTGTTCTTTTAATCATCTCTCATCAAATTCATCTGTGGTTACAAACCTAGCATTTATAAATTTAGTTTAATTTATTCTAGGTTCAATTTGTAAATTTGGTTTCTTTGATAATTCTTTACAGAAGGTAAAATTTCCCAACCGCTTTCTAATTAAAAAAAAATAACTAAAAAAATGTACTTTTAAGCGTTATCTGAATTTTATGCTGAATGGATTTTGTTTCATAAATAAATATCAATCCAGACAATATTTTAAGCTTAACATAACATTTCTAGAAGAAATAGCCCTGTAAAGGTTTAATCTCAATTACAAAATATACTATTTGGCTGTATTAAATATGTTTTGTCATAAATGAATGCTTTTGAGAGTAGTAAATTAGAAATTTTCATTTTCCTTACAGGCATCTACTCCTCCTCCTGTGGCAGATGATTCTGATGGACAAGTATCTCCTCCTTGTGTACCAGATGATTCTGATGATGACTCTCATTCTTTTGAGGAACCTTCTCGTCATGAACCCGTTTCTCCTCCTCCATCACCAGCTATAGCGGGACCAAGATTCATATTGAGTAAGTGTTCCTAAGTGTGTAAGTTTAAGTAAGTGTTCCTATTTTATATATGCCAATTGGCATAGTCAGTAGTGTTCGCAAAATGAATGTTGCGGAGTAAAAGTCGACAACATTGCGATACCCGGTGTCGATAACTGCTTCAAAAAATCTCAGTAGCGCCACACAGGAATCAAAAAACAATTCAGTCAGTATGCTTAATTAAATGTTGTCACATATTTATTATTTTTATGGTTTCATTAAATTTTTACAACCTTAGATTATTTCTAATTGAAATTTTTTTCAAAAAATATGATTTAATCAAAGTAAAATATAAGTTTCCAAAATGTGACTTTTAACTGTCTTAAATGGAATTTTTGTGAACCTATTGATATTGGTCACCAACTCATTAGGTTATTTTCTGGATGTCTTCTCATGATATCTTCTGGCTAAAATGGCATTGGCTGAAAATGATATTTTAAGTAATATTTAATTTATTTTCTTCCATAAATAAATGTCTGTTTATTAATAATATGGGGTAACCCTTTCGCAAAAAATGTCACTGGACCATAAGTAATGAAATGGATAACTTTATAAGCTCGAATGTTAGATTGAATACAATTTAATGCTATATTACATTAGTTCTAATATTAGAAGATGGGATTCATGAGTCTAGCATGGCAGTATTATAATTGCATCTTTCTAATGTTAGATAATATAGTTTTTCTACCTGGTTATAATAAGCTGATCTTTACCCTGCCACTCTCCCCTCCTATGTTATTTATCATCTCGTTTAATTTTTCTTTTATAGGTGACAATTCATCTATGTTCTCTGTCAACTCATCTGATTTCTCTGCAAGCTCGTCCGAATCCCCCGAGCCCTGCGTGAGCTCCTCTGAGTCTTCTGTGAGCTCAGTAACCTATCAGAGCTCAGTGAAATCTGAGAGAAAGGGGAGAAGAAGGGGTGAGGCTGAAAGACTGAGGGAATATACAGCAGAGATAGGAATAAAAATATCGGTGGCTAGAATGCTGGAATTGAAACCCAGACTGAGGAAGCCGAAAGTTGTTTCCTATAAGGGCATGTGCTGATCATCCTGGTGCATGTCTCATCCCGGTGATTATCTTCTCTGGTCAGTTAAGTTTTTGTATCCTGTTTTGATTTTCTTTGTTAGGTTTATCCATCTTATTATATCAGTGATTTAATTTTTTCCTCTTGCCTGAACGGAGCAACGGAACCTAGCAACGGAGTAAAATTAGTTATTGCTCTCTAGAATCAGTCTATGGACTATCTTAAATTATTCTTTTGAGGCACGATTTTACGAGGCGAGTTTTTTTGGGACTTTCGCCTAATAACTTCTTAGCCCCCCTCCCATAATTTATGATTCAATCTCTTTAACATTTTGTGGGTCAATCGAAATATGTAAAGAAAACTATGTTAATTTGCAGAAAATATGTTTCTGTGTCTGATTTCGTAACTTAAAAGTCAGCACTAATTAAAATTTAATTGTAATTTGTTTATAATTTTACTTATTTAGATTCACTTTGAATCTTGTATTTTTAGAGCTTACGTTATACTTGAAATCCAGTATACACACACACAAATTCCTTATTTTATTGTATGTATAGATTAATTGTCGTCCTACCTGATGTCTTTTCATTGTTAGATAAAGCAAAGTACATTTTTACTAGTTCATTCTATTAAAGATTAACTATAATCCGTATTATTTGGCATAATGCGTTGCTCAAGGCAACTCAGGATATTTAAAATATTCGACAGTGAAGCTACTTTTTCCTGCACTTATCTATCCTATGTATCTAATTGTGTTATAAAAATGTACAATATTGGTACAACTGTATACGGCTCCAAATTTACTCAAAATGCGTTGTACCTATATACGATTATATTTAGTACTATTACTAATTTAAAAGATAGTGTTTTCTGGGAAACCTAGAATAATTCATAAAGTTTTTTTCTATCGGCACTGTACTACTTGTTATTTGAAAAATACACTCATATTGGTGGTGCTGCATATTTTTTCGGAAGTTTTCTCTCAGCTCTTGAAGTTAATATCGCTTTGAATATCATGTACATATCTTAGTAATATGTAGGATTATTTACTAACTTTTTCAGAAAAACATTAATATTAATAAAAGAAAGTAAAGTTTCAAATGAATTTCTTAGTACAACTGTGTTTTAAAGAGGAAAAATAATCTTAATTTCTGCGAATTTAAAGCTTATCTCTTAAATCCACAGCTGCAGAGTTTTTTCCAACAAAAAAACTTATTTTATAATGAAATAAATATATTTTTCTTTCTACGTACTTCACGAGTAATTAATCTGTAAAAGCGTTCATGCTGTCTTGGGATTTCCACATAGCTGGGAAAACCCGTAATTGTCTACGATGTTAATTTAAGCAAAAAAGGAACTTTATATTTTCAAACCAAAGCGATGTTATCAAAAAAGAATATAAACACAATATAAATAATAAAAATTAGTGTAAATAATATAGGCATAAGATAACAAATGTAAACATAGTTTAAAGAATAATATAAAATATTATAACCTAGTAATGGTTTAAAAGAGAAGTTACACATTATAGATTTGATTCTGAAAATAAATATATTCTTTTTTTTATAATTTATCTGAATACTTCTTAAAATTTTATGTAATTGTATTTTAAAAAGTCATTCTTTTACAGCGATCTTGAAGATAATGGTGATCAGAGGAAAATTTTGAAGGCTTATGAAACATCTATATAGTCTGTTGTTATGCAATACACCGGATGATTGGACTAATTTTGTAGACAAGTTTAAGGATAGTAATACAAAGTGCGAGACATCTTTGTTTGAAGTTATACAAACTAATTTCTTACCTGCTCTGAAAGAAATATACAAAGAAAAGGTATTTTTAAAAATCTCTTAAAAGTTGCTATTATAAGGATCGTTAAAATATAACACATTACTTTGGCTAATTTCTTATGTGCTCTGAATGAATTATGTCTAGAAGAGGTACTAAATTGGTGTCCTAGTGTCATTTTGGAGTTGTAATTTTTGATAGTTAAACACTTATTTAAGCTGCTTTCTCTTTTGCTCTGAATGCATTATAAAGTGTAGGTTTGATAATAGTCTCTAAGAGTTATTCTATTATAATGTTTGATAAGTAATAAAATAATACTGGTTACTTAAAATTTTTTTAAAAATGTAACAAATTTATTGATTTTTGTAGAAAAACTATTTTTCTCCCTTTAAAGTATATCTTTCATTAGCATTGATAAAAATTTTGCTAAAAATTTCAAGTTTTGTAAAGCAAATTACAGTTCATTTGAATAGATGCAGTTGCATAAACAATATTCAAATTGAATTGGAAAAGTATTTTCTTTAGCACTGTGTATATTTAGTTATAAAACTTAATATTATTTGTTAATATAAATATACTTTTAATTTTCTATCTTTTAAAAAGAATTTTTTTTTGCCGTGTCGATTGTCATTCTAAATTACAAAAAAAGCATGATTTTCACAATTTTCTGTGCAATATTTGTCAGAAACTAGTAATTTTATCATGATCATGCAACATTTTTGAAAATTTTTTTGAATTTTATTGACTTTTTGCTTATAAATTAAGAACTTTAAATGATAGAAAATAATAATTTTGATTAATGCACAGATCCTAATTATGATTTTGTTTTTGGAAAGTGATTAAAAATATTTCTTGAGTGTTAAAAAAGTACTTAAAAGGTGCTTATTTTGTGTTGAAAAATCTGGCTATGTACCCTGAGAATTTTCTGAATTTCCTGCTTATATGTACAGTCGGTCAAAAAAAAAACTATCACCCTGAATACCTTTCGTTCAAATGATCAGATTTTCGCGTACTAGGAGTCGATCTTAATGGTTCCTAAGGTTAACCTCAAATATGCAAATTATTTATGGCTAATTATTAATTAAGTTATGATACCTGAAAATCAACCATACCCACAAATCAGTCAGCAAAATCTATAGTTTTGCTAATTTTTTTAGTCTTTTTTTTTTTAGCTATATTTTCTCAGGTTTTTTTATGCCCCATTGGATCAACCGAAAACATTAATAAGTTCTTTTTTTTTAATGATGATGCGTTGGCAACTTTTACTAACTCACTTTTTCAATTTATTTTAGTGTTTTCTACAGATTCTCTTTCTTTTTAAAGGGTACAAGAGCTATTGTGTGGGGTATGCAGACTCGAGCCTTCAAGGAATGCTTGACTTTGATTATGTGTGTTCCAGAAAGGAATGTTCAGTGGCAGCCATGGTTTATCGTTTACCGGAGATCACAAGCAAAAGTTTTATTGGGGGCATAAAGAAGTACTCATACCTGGTGAGTTTTACTTTATTTTTTAACTTAGAGAAGTGTGTTTTTCAAAGTAATTGAAATAAATTTCAGGTTAAAAAGAAAACAAGAAATTTAATTTTATTATGTCTTTCAAAATATCATTTTACAGTAGGTGTGCACAACCTGCGGTCAGAGGGTCACATTCGGCCCACAGGAGTTTCTGAACACAATAAAAACATTTCTTTTAATTTGGTTTTTGTTTAAACATAATAAAATTTCTTTAATTGAAATATTTAATTCAAATTTATATTACTCTATAAAATGCGTATATTTACACTTTCATTCCGTAAGCTTCTTTTCCCCCCCCCCAATATTTACGTGTATATATACATATATATATCACTTAAAAATATAATTATTTAAAAAAAAAAAGATTTCATCAGATGTGTATGTAGTTTTTTTTTGTTTGTTTGCTTGATCAGATTATTATTACATCCAAACATATTGTTTAGAACAATTTGCTTCACAAATATGTATTTAGTTCTTGCTATGCATCACCGAATAAGTAATATCATTGTAGGATATTTATGAAAAATATGTATTTTATTCATAAATCTCTGATTAATAATTGAATAAACAAATTTTGTTTAAAAAAATTAATCTTTAATTGTTAAAAACTACTTAACAGCATGATTTGTAAAATTTGTTCATATTTAAAATTTAAGCATTTATTTTTTGCTAGAATTGTTGTTTTTAAGGAAAAAATGGGTCTGCAAAATTACTATTCTGTGCTAATGTAAATTTGTGCTATATTATTTTTTTTTATATTTCAGACTATAAGTCATGACAAGAAATTTGATTGATAGACTAATGTTAAAGAGAACTTAAAAAAAGAGCACATCGGTGTGAATAAAGGAATCGTAAGTATATTTTTATTTTTTAACTTTTTGTTTGATTGAGATTAGAGTATTATTGCCTAAATATAATTTGTTCAAGTAACCTTGTGGTTTTTATGCTTATAATTTTCATTTTAATTGCAGTGGTATTCTTTATAATTTAATGTTAGTGTTGCTTGTAACGAACATAAATGGAACACAATATTTGCTCGCTTTAAACAGAGTGCTTGTGAGAAATATTTTCATGAAAAAATCATTAGAGATCATGCATTAAGTTACAGGTCGGAGTTGCCCCTCCTCAGGGAGAATATGGAAAACGCGGAAAATAAGAGTAAATTTAAAAATTACCTAAAAAAAAAGCAGGGGAAGGCAGGGAACTTTAGAGTTTTTCCTTACTAACTGAGAAAATACAAGAAACACATTTCTCGTTTTTGTTTTTGAAAAAGTGGTGACCACTCAAAGCAGACTTTTTAGAGATATTTAAGGTGCATATTTCTGCTTTCATTTACTGTAGCATTATTTGTTTTTAGTTTGTTAAGCTGTTTCTTATTTCTTTAAGTTTTTCCTGCAATTAAAGCTGGTATAGTTAGCCTAACACAGAAGAGTACAGTGATTGTGGGTCTCCTCCTAATATATCATGCACAATTAACTTGAAATTCTTCCCATCTGTAGTTATTGCTTTCATTATTTATTAATTTTTTTCATTTGCTACAGCTTAACTTGGAAAATACAGGGAATTTAAAAATCAGCTAAAAGAGCAGAGAAAAGGCAGGGAATTTTTTTTAACAAACAGAGGAAAAAACATGGGATTTTATTTCTTATTTTTTAAAAAATGCTCACAAATCGCAATCTATGGGATATTTAAAGATCAGCTATATTATATTATTTAATTTACAGTATTATTTGTTTTATGCTGAGCTGTTAAAATTTTTCCAGCAACTAAAACTAGCATTTTTATCTTAATATAGTTTACCAGAGTGCAGTGAGTTTCCTCTTAATATATTGGTTATCATATGTTCAGAGAAAACACATGGAATTTTTTTTTTTTACATATATCAGTGGCAACCCTGGGTTTGCTCGTTAAAAGTTAGTTATATGAGTTGTACCAATCACATATTTCTCATTCAGAGGATTCACATTAAAGAGGAGTTTGACTGTATATTCTTTTCCTGCTTTCAGATAGAACAAGTGACTAGGATGGCTATGAAAAGTTTAAAGTGCTATGATGAAGATAATGATGAGAAGAAATGTCAGAATGTTCTGATGATACAACGCATTCTCTTAAAGATAATTATGTTCAAGGTATATCAGCCTCTCTCTAGGTTTGTATGATTATTAAAGATTTTTTGTCGTAATATTTTGATGTTGATTCTCTGGTTTTAGATGTGAGGTGTGCTATGTAAACAATATTTAATGTCCAATTTGTTATGATGTTGGATATCATAAATTAGAATGATTAAAGAAGATAACATTATAGCTAAGTTTATTGAATTACATCTTGTTTACATCATACTGAAGATCGAAGTTACAGTACTTATTCAAAGGTAAAAGTTGAAGTAAATGTTTACATGTTGCACTATATTATCTATAAATTGAAGTAGAAGTTAACAAAATATATTGATTGATGGATTGATAATTATAGCAAACTAAAAAATTCAAAATTTGTTCAGAGCTGCTGATTAGCTGCTCATAAGTTTAATATCAAATTTAATGGTAGTAGTTTTTCTAATTGCAGAAATCTTCCAGCTCCCACTGGAAGTTGTGAGTTATCTCAGCATCTGCTAATTATTATAAACTAAACTGGTTTCTAATCAAAATTATAAGAGCACCACAAAGAGCGAAAAGTAAAGAAATTTTTTTTCTTCCAGTTATTATAGTACAATTATAAAGTTTTATAAGGATTTATTTCACATTTTCTGAATATCATATGCAATTCAAATTTAATTAAAATTATTAAGATTTATAAGTACCTTATTTTTGCAATTTTTGTTTAATGTATGTGTTAAATTAAACAATAATAATGTATAGTTCCATTGTATCTATAGTTCACTGACTGATTTGGAATCATGAAGATATTTCTGCAAATATGCTCTGTAAATATCTGTATCAGGGTAGATTTTTAGTGATAGTTATTAAGTAAGAGCTATTAAAACTGTATAAATGCTAATTTAATTATAGTAAGTGAAAAAAACTTCGTGATATTCCTTTTATTTTAAGCTTTTTTTCTTAATACTTTCATGGTTATTGTTAGTCTTTTACTATTTTTAATCAAAATAAAATTCTGTTTTTTCATGGTTTATACCCTTTAGAGAAAAACTTGAAAGCTCTAAGAATCTCTATTTAGCTTAAAAAATCAGGATATAATGTTTAAAAATTGTTTTGTTAAGAACCTATATAATAGTCCATGTATGTGAAAAATCAGATCAAAAGTTGTTCAGTGTGTTCACATTTACTTTTTTTTTGCACTGTACACAGCTGCTGGTGGTTCCTTCAAAACGTAAAAGGGAATAATATTTTCAGAATTTTGTTGAATGTAACATAAAGTCCACATCATAGTCAGATATATAAACTTTTAATGTTCATAGAATTTATTTACGTTTTCTTAATATTGGTGATATTAATTTAAGTACTTATTTTCATTTGCAGCAACCAATGGATTTATCAACTATAACTCGAAAGCTGCTGAATCATTGTTCTGTTAAGGACTTGGATGGAGACAAATTGGTGTAGATTTCTCATCTATATAATGGTGAACATGGTGGTAAGTTTTTTTTTCTATAATGATTTATTATACTTTTAAACTGTTTTATTATCTTCTAAATTTTATCTTCAATAAGCTTGTACAGGGCTGACTTTTTTAAACCACTGTTTATTTAAACCTTTTTTTAACCAAGCTTGGTTTTTTTAAGAGAAAATCTTTTAAAAAACTTAATTTTCTATTATAAAAATACTTAATTTCAATATACCTAAATGGAAAATAGTCAATTTTTTCATTAAAATCTTTTAATACTTGAGTTTAATTATTATTGTGAGTCTAAGTTACTTTAAATAAATGTGTGACTTGTCATTTTTGAATGTTAATGTATGATTGCTCTTCTGCAAAAATATATTTAAAAATAAATTTATGTGAGTAAAGTTAAAGCATGATGCCTCAAAAATTCTTAAAATAATACCGACCATGACTAATAAAAAATGTAACTATAGATTGCGTTGAGATAAAAAGTTTATCTGTTTATAATGTTGTTACATAATACATTACTTAATAATGATTATGCTTACCTCAATCAAAAGCATTAATGGAAGTGTGGTACTTTTCTGAATTTTACAGTTTATTTTTTTGTTTACTTTTCCAATTTTTTTTCTTTTTAAATAATTTTAATTTGATGTCAATTAAATAATTAATTTAATAATTTTAATAAATTTTAATTGTAGGTATGGAATTAGAATTTAAAATTTTCCAAGTGTAATGCACTATACATAGCTGCTGTACATAAAAGAGAATAATTCGAAATTATTGAAAAATATTCACAAATTATATAAAATATTTTCTATGTATATTATTTAATTCAATGCAGTAATATATATTATGAGCATTGTAATGTTTAAGGCCTCATCATGTTAAAATTAATCTCTTAAAAATAATTTATTCTTTATTTATTTTTAACTTAGTACTAAAATATACCCTTCCCTCATTTTAATTCATTTGTTTATATTTATTAATAAACTAACATTTTGATATTAAAATTTTTTTTTTGTTGCTAATAATGTATAAGCAAATTAAAAATCTTTAGTTATTCTTTTTTTTACCATGTTGGCATGTTTTGGAAGATTTTTTTTTTGATTATTATTAATATTATTTAATAATTGAAAAAGTTTTCATGATTACATTTTATTATAGCTTAATTACTTTAAATTTAAAGCAGAAAGTATTATTTTAAATTTTTTTTTAAGAAATGAACCAAAACAGCAGAAAAACAGGCTTTCTGAATTTGTAATAAAGTAGCATTCAAATACATTAATAAAATATATGAAAGTTTATAATTATAATATTTTTTATTTATTTTTGTATTTCTTTCTGTCAGAGTTTTAAACTTATGTGAGAGTAGTTCATCTATGACAACTATTATGTCAGCCATTAGATTCTTTTCCAAATGTTAAAAAAAGATGCAATTAAAATTATGGTTATAATATAATAGAGTTCTGTACTTTTATTGTTATTTATTAAACAATTTTTTTCATAATTATTTATTACCTAACAAAAACTTATCCCATTTTTAAATTTTTCCAACTAATTTTAAGTAAAATCATTAATAATTTGTTAGATTTTCCTAATTTTCCCTTTTGTTTTGTTTTATTCAAGTTCACTTAGTTGTTAAATGAACTTTAAAAAAATCCCCAAAACTAGTGATAAATTTGAAGCTATATTTTTTAATATTTTGAATTTTTATTATTTTAAGATATAAAACTCTTTATTTTCATGTCAATAATAATTTGAATTTGCCGTGTTATAGTCTAGCTCTGAATTTGTTTAGTGTATTAATTAGATTAAAACGAATAAAATTAGCTAAATTATAGTTTTGTTTTTAAATAAAAATGAATAATGATCATTGAATAAATATAAATGTTTAGAATGGTTGCTAAAGAAACACATTTCTTTATTGTAGAATTTTGAAAAGTTTGATGAGAAATATTACTGCAAATATTTTTATAAATGTTAATATTTCTCATCATTTATTTAATATGTTGTAATTGGAAATAAATATTCTTGAGAAAGCATTTCTTTTTCACTGACATTTTATTTATACAATTTTGTAAGAATAACCTAAATATTAAATAGATAATGGATTGTTTATTGGATTTAAATGTATATTTACAAATTTCAAAAATCTTAAATCGTTTTGATGAAATGTTTATTTTTCGGTGCCCCTGGGACTTTTCTGCGGAATCCTGGGATTTTGCGAAACACCATCTCTGGAACAGCTTTTTTAAGATATTTTCTGGAGTCTATTCATCTATGTCAGTTACTGTTCAAAGATATTTAAATATGACTATAACCATATGTATGATAGCTACGTAAAAACAGGGCCAAATATGTTTTGTATTTTACTTATAATATATCGTTTACTTAAAAAGGAAAACTACTTAAAAGTTAAATGATTAGTTGAGGGGTAAGTAACAAAAATATATTTATCTACAACACGATGTACACGTACACCTTATGTATAAGACAGAGGATGATACTAATACTAAAAAAAATGTGTTTTTTCACAAGGATCTTTAATAAAGGTTACAATTTCTGATTTTCCTCATATGTAATGCATAATTGCTAACTGTACGGCATTTTGTGGAAGATTTCATTTTTATGTTTAATGTGGTATAAATATTTGTAAGAATCGTGGTTGGTCAGGGGATAGAGCGTTTGCCTTCCAATGAGGTAAATTCTCCCAAAATTTCTCCCATTACTTGATCTTGAAGTTTCCTTGTCTTCTGGATTGGGTTCAAAATTACAAGACTATGGCGTTGAGCATTGGTAGCCGTAAGCTCAAAATTGGGTCGGTCGTTTAACGGCGGTTTTAAAACTAAATATATGTAAATTCGTTGTTGATTCTTGTTTCAATAGTTTTCACTTATATTGATTTTGACAACAACTACATTTTAATAGTTTAAATATAATTTTTTAAAGATACCTTCTTGTTATTGCGTTGGTCAACTTCTCACAATCTCACTTCAATTGGAATAATAAAAGTATTTCCTGAAGGCAGTATTGATACTATTAAAGTTTTGAAGCATATTAGACACTGTGAGCAATTAAGTAAAAATATCATATTGTTAAATGATTGCAATTTTAACTTTTCATGTGATATTAAAATTTTATATTTATTTTAGAATTCTTTGTGTATTGGAACTGACGAAACTGTTTTAAGAAAAATTGTACATAGATGTGAAAGCTTATGTGGTAAAAGGTAATTTTTTTAAATCTAATTATTGCTGTGTATAATATAATGGAGTCATTCATTTTCTTGCATTACATTTTCCTTCGTTTTTGTGCATTTTAAGAATTTATCTCCGAGTAAGGGACTTAAGACTGTCATTTGTCCAAACACCAATATTTGTAGATAAGTACATTTATTATTAAACTGTTTTTTTTTTTTTAAAAAAAACAAGCACATGTATATTTTGTTTGATGTCTGAAATATGTATACTATTAATAAATATCTGAATCATAAAATCTTGAAGTATCAGTACACAAAAACATCTATGCAATTTTGAAAATTTAATATGACTTTCATTTCAACATTTTTAAATCTCTTATTATGTTTATAAACCTGTATTTTACAAAATCCCTTTGAATTTTTCTCTTGGAATCCATTCAAGGTTGGCTTTTAGGACAATTATACCTATTAATGGAAATTCTAATATAAAACATAACAGCATTGAAAACTTTTAAGAAGTTTTCTTTCGACAATTAATGAAGAATTAAGAATAGACTCAAAGATAAATCTGACTTTAGTGAATAAACAAAATAGGCAGGTTGGTCAGGTTGGAAAAGTTTTGCTTTTTTTAATATGTGAAACAAATTTTATTTCTGGATAATAAAGATAAACTTACCAGGAATAAATTCTAAGCAAAAGATATTTAGATACTATTGAAATTCGTTTATATAGAATATGCAATTATAATATCTGCTTTGAAAATTTCAAATTTTCTTATTGCCAAGTGTTTTTTTACACATGGTTTTCGTGAAATTTTATTCCATTTCTGCTGCAAACAATACTAAAATTTGTAAAATATATAAAATTGTCTTGCAAATTTTCAGCTTTTGATTTTTTAAATATTTTTGAGTAAAAAGCTTATGTATTGTGACCTTTTGGCTTTTAAATAAAGTGCTTAAAAAAGAAAGTACAACATCAATTAAAATAATGACTTGTTCTAATATGTGTTCGGTTTATTTTAGCATAAAATTTTGTGATTTTTCATTGCTTTGTGTACCGTGATGTTAAATGTTTATAACATTTTTCATATTTTAGTGTCAGATAAAAATCCAGTAGTATGCTTTTATTTTTTTTCTGTTTGTAATCCCTTTTTAATAGTAATAGTTGATTGTAGCATTTCTGCCCATTGAGGTTTTAGCTGAATCTTAGCTTTATTTTCTCCCACTCTCCTGGCTTGGTCCATTATACTTTTTATTCATCAATGCCTTCTTTTTTTTAATACCCATCAGAAAAATTGTTTCCATTTGTTTTAAAGTAATGCCATACATAGCAGCAAGCCTATTTGAAAACATTCTCAACTATCAATGAAATTTGTAAAATTCACCAGCAGTAAAATATATCAAACAACTTTTTTAATTATATTCAAAAATATAACCTTACCCATATGATTTATTGCTTAAACCGATTTGGGAATTCAATCATTTGTTATGAAGAAGAAACTAAATTAAAAATTTTAAATTATCAAATTTTTATGCCGATGAATTCAGGGATCATATGCATGGTTATTATTTTACGCTAATGCAGTAACAGATCTTTAGGGTGAACTTATAATTTCACAATTGAATAGTCTCATGTGATTTTATAGATTTCAATCATGAATGCAGTATCATAGAATTTTAAATAATCATTTGAGGGATCATCCACTAAAATCACTTGTGTACAGTATTGAAAATGATATATTCACCGTCTTTTCAATTCGAGTTTGTTGACACCTTAATTTAGGATTATTTGATTCAGGAAATCTTGAACTCAATTAAAAACGCTAATTACATATTTTTATGCAGGAATATAAATTCTACTGGTTCTTAAAGCAACAGAACTACAAAACTTTTCCATGCATTGATTTGAAACTAGTATTGATAAAATTATGCTGGATAGTCTTAAAACTTCATAAAAAAATAAGAAAAAAATATTTTTTTTTGATAATAAAATTTGCTTTTATAAGCAAATGATACTTTCTTTAGTTTGCCCTTTGCCTTTTTTATAAGTGGGCTGGTATATGTGTACTCTTTCAAAGAAAGTAAATGATTGTGTTTTAATATTTTGAAAAATGTTTTCCCCAAATCTGACTGATTTTCCTTGGCCCAATCCGAAGCCTGCATATGTCACACATGTCACCTCCTGATGGCTGAATAATATGACTTTATTCATGTATTTTTCTAATGTGGTTGTTCATTTTCAGGAAAATAAAGTCTTAGTTTACGATTTGGATGATAAAACACTAAAACCATCATCTGATGATTTTAAACATTTGCTTTTTACTCTACCAGTTACAGTCATCTCAGGTAAAAATTTGTTGCAATTTATTTATGATTAACTATATTTACAATGTTTTGAATGTTTTATTTCCATTTGCATACTCATATTTTTTTGATTAATGTGTTTTTAAACTCAAGTTACTGAAGATAAATTACTGTTAGCAGTTTTTATACACTCGACTGCCAATATAAGACATGCCAACTTAATTTAATCTTATGATAACTTTTGATAGATGAAGGTTGGCATTGTCTAACGGTCATTAATCCGAAATGAACTGTGAAAGCAGTTCCAGGGGTTGGTGAGCGAGCAGGGGGCGAAGCCTCCTAGTATTTGAAACATTTTAAACTATAATTTATAAAAATTTTAATGACATTCTTAAACAGACATTTTAAATTACAAATTTGGAAGAAATTTTTTTTATAAACAATAAATTTTCTAAAAAATCATATTTTTAAAACTTTATTTCTAGATCTAATTGTTGCATTTTTAAAAAGAATATTCATTCTTTAGGGGACCACTACTTTAAAGATGCTGACTAATTATAACCTCATTAGCATGCAGAGAAGGGGTACTTGTCTCAGACAAAGGAGGCATCTAGTTGACTTTAAGATTGGTAAGTATACCAATCTTATATCTGTTTCCAAATTACTAATATACATTTCCCAGGAAATTAAATTTTTAGTTAAGTAAATACTTTTTTAAACTAAATATGTCATAAAAAAATCTTTCAAATTTTAAAATTAAGTTTTCACTCTTTAAATTTAAATACTTTTATATTTAAGAAAATTGGAGAAATTTTGGTTTGAAGTAATAAATTTCTACAAATGAAAGATTCTGCTTCCATACATAAAATTTAATTTAAAATAAGAATTCAAACAATGAATAAATAAGTTTTTTTTTTGCCTCCTCCAAATTATTGTAATCCTTTATTTAAAAGCATGTACTAGAAGCATTTGGCCCAGGTATTCACATATTTCTGTACTCCACCATTTGACCTTGCTGTTGAAAGTCATTAGAACTCAAGAAATTTAATCTTTTGTTTCCATTTTTTCTTTTTCAAATCTAGAATTACAATTACTAAATTCCTTTGATATAATTTGGTNGGTATTCACATACTTCTGCACTCCACTATTTGACCTTGCTGTTGAAAGTCATTAGAGCTCAAGAAATTTAATCTTTTGTTTCCATTTTTTCTTTTTCCAAATCTAGAATTACAATTACTAAATTTATCTGATATAATTTGGTACGAAAAATAGGCTATTTCTAGGATTATCAGGGTGGCCACCCACCTCGAAAACCTGGAATTATCAGGGAATTTTTTTATGTTGGAAAAAACCTGGAAAAATCAGGGAAATTTGGATAAAAGCCTGGAAAAATCAGGGAATTTTAAAGAAAAGCTGGAAATTTTTTTCTCAGATATTTTTTCAATTTCACTAATTTACATTATTTACTAATTTTCTTAATTTAAATTATTTCATCCATTATACCCACATTTTTTAGATGGAAATGTGTCTCCAAACAGTTAAAATGTTATCAACTTAGCTATACTTTGCTTGTATCAAAATTTTTTCTATTATAACCCTGTTAAACTAGAATGCCACATAAAATTCTCCCATAGTTGCTAAACAAATGTAGTAATCTTTGATCTCTATGGAGACTATGCAACTGCGCAATTTAGGAAACGCAAAGATTGTGGTGGACGTGGAAGAAGGGGTTAGGATATTTGCTTCTATTTTTAAATTCTGTCCGTGAGCAAACTTGAGCCATTTATGGCTCAAGTTTGTTTCGATGCTTTAGTGGTAATTTTTTTCTATTTTGACAAAATGAGTCAAAATGTTTTTGCATTTTTAACTTTATAAAAATATCCAAAAATTAGTTGGGTGTAATTAATAATAAATTTTATATTGCACTCTTTCTCTGAAAGCTTTTGTACTCCCATTCAAAGAAATCTGTAAATTCTTTTTTTTCACCAAACCAACAAATCAGTTTTTTACAGTTAACATCAATGTTTGTCTACAAATTGTTACATTAATGCTAATTTTTTCTATTTCATTTTGACCTTTATGACATATTTTAATTTAAAAAAGAAAGATTTTTTTAGAACTAACTATATATTAATATTTAATTTTACTGCTTGTTGATAAATATTTGATTTTTAATTCAAAATTTGAATTGTATAGTTATCAGTCAAAAGCTGACAAAGACTAAGGAATGTATAGGAATCATAAAAAATGATGTATAAACATAAAATATAATTTTTATTATTCATATGTGTTTAGTCGGAAGAAGAAAAACGAAACTTATTTGTTTTAGTTCTGTGCTGTACAAGATTCTTGTTGTTAAAACAAAAACAATTAACTATACTAAACTAAAAAAACTGTGTTTAGATTGGAACTCTGTAAATGTTTTAATTTCAAATAAGAAAAAGAATCAAAAAAGTATAAAATTTAAGGAATTTTATCTATTTTTTTTCTTCCATAGAGGAATATAGAACAAAAAATTAGACAATTTTACATTTGTGACATTTATTTTTGTATTTTGAATCTCTGGAAATAAAAATGCTAATTCAGAACAACATTATTTAAAAATTTGTCTTGAGATATTGGTTTAAAGAAAATGTTATCAGTGAATTTTATTAAAATACTGGTAAGATAAAATACAGTATAATGTAGTATACAGTACAACTTTATATTGAAATGTAATTACAGTGACTCACAAGCAAAAGTGTTCGTACATTTATGACTTTCAATGAAATAAGACTATCCATTAATTAAATTGAATATTTCAGAATGGATATTTAATATTAAAAAATGTATTCTAATCTTAACAAAACTGTATGGAATATTTTAAAAACAAAGGAAAAGTTTATTTTGAAGAAATCAATCATCAAAAAGTGACAAAAACTTTATCCCACATAAGCCATTGTACACTTTTAAAAAAAAAAAAAAATCTGTTTTAGTAATTATTCTAATTTTTCATTAAATTAGCATTTAGTAGTTTCCTTTCGCATCTACAATAGCTTTTGTAAGTTTGTAAATATAAACTAGTTTTTTTTTTGTCGGGAGAAATTTGTTCGGAATATTTTACAGAAATTTTTGCATCACTCTATTGCGAATTTATGAATTTTTCCACAAATTTTATAATTTTAATCTCTGATATGAAGTCCTCCTTTCATGCATTTTATCATATATTGCACAGTGCATACCTCTTATGATGACAAATAATCAAATTTGGTCTATTGTTTTATTAGGACCACGAGCCGTTTTTAAATAATAAAATATTACGAAGTTAGTAAGCAAAAATTAAAATATAATTTTGCTATCGTAAATTTGATACTAAATTGCAAAAGAATAAATAAAAAATTAAATGAATAATAATTAAATAAAAAAAATGCAATCTAAGAGCTGCCGAATACGTCAAAATCGTCTTAAAATATCTCAGTATCTTATGTTGTCCTAACATCTTTAATTTGAAATTAAATTTTTAATTACTTGGCCACGTGTGATTCGCAGAATTATTCAACTAATTATTTCATCAGATTTTTTACTCTTTC